CAGGTCTATAGAGCCTGTGTCCTGAGCACACTCCTGTACTGCAGTGAGTCCTGGACCCTTTGTGCATGGCAGGAGGGGAAGCTGAACACATTCCATATGCGTTGTCTCCAATGCATTTTTGGGATCATCTGACAGGACAAAGTTCCAAATAGAGTAGTCCTAGAATGAGCTGGAATATTTAGCATGTATACATTACTGAAACAGTGATGTCTATGTTGGCTTCGGGATGTCGTGAGAATGGCTGACGGTCGGATTCCAAAAGATCTCCTGTATGGAGAATTGGTACAGGGAAATTGCCCCAAAGGGAGACCACAGGTGTGATACAAGGACATCTGCAAGCGAGATCTGAAGGCCTTAGGAATGGACCTCAATAGAAGGGAAACCTTAACATCTGCATGTTCAGCCTGGAGGCAGGCGAGGCATCATGGCCTCTCCCATTTTGAAGAGACACTTGTCCAGCAGGCCAAGGCAAAGAGGCAGTTCGGAAACCAGCAAAATCAGGAAGCTGGGCAGGACAGATTGTATGGAAGGAATTGTCACTCTCAAATTGGCCTTCTCAGCCACACTAGATGTTGTTCCAAGTCCTCCATACAGAGCATGTTACCATAGTCTTTTGAGACTGAAGGATGCCTAATCTATAGAAATCCACAATGGGCCGTTCCTAGAATACTGTACTGGTCCCCACACCAAAAAAGTATGTTGTACAGTTGGAAAGGGGCAACAAAATGTCATGAGATTAGAGAAACGCCGCTGCTTAGCTTCAAAAAAGGGCAAGTGTAAGAGTATACAAAATTACATCTGGTGTGCAAGATGTAAAATTACATCTGGTGTGTGAAAGTAGATAGAAGCTTTTCTCTTTCTCTCATACTACTAAAACTGAAGAAGTAATCCACTGAAGCTACAGGGTGAGAAACTACAGACAGTTTGTATACAGATGCAATCTGTTAAGTAGTAAGAATGTAATACATTGATTGTACATCTAGTTATTTCTGGGAGAACTCAACTACTACAATAACTATTTTTTTCTGATAAATTATTTTTAGTGCAAAGAGGCTGAGGTCTCCTTGTAGAGTCTTGGCAAAGGCTCAAGTCTTCCTATCACCTCAGTTCTGAGGTCCATGCTTGTTTATTGTGACCAGCCCTAACCTGGCTAATCACCCTTTAAACTGCCCTTTACATTTACTGGACCTGCTGTAAGCCCAAATCATAAGAGCCCAAACAGTTTTCAAAATGAAACATAAAAACAAAATGAGCTTAACTATCAACTACCCCCCACACTAGACCAGAACACAAGAGTTCTAACTCCAGTCGTCTGAAGATGCCCACCACAGACTGGCGAAACGTTAGGAAGAAAAATCTCCAGAACACGGCCAAATAGCCCGAAAAACCTACAACTGCCATAGGAATATTTTAAATAAATAAATAGAATAAAGTGGATGGTTAGTGTTTTCATGTCGTGCTGAAATACTGCTATTTTTAAAATTGTTTTTAACATCGTGTCTTATAGTGATTTAAACTGGGTTATGTTTTTTTCACTGGCTGTGAGCCACTGTGAATCTCCTTCTGGAGAGAAAGGCAGCACATAAATAAAGAGGCCGCTGGGTTTTTTTTTTTCCTGGACAGCTTTAAGAAACTCAGCATACTCAGGACCACTTCATACAGATTTAGTGGCTCTAACTCCTCTCTTTCTATGAGCAAGAGAACCGTAGAGCAAGGGTCGATTTTCTCCTCAGCGTATGCTTATGGAAGGAGCGAAGCGGATGGTCTTCTCCCCGTCCGCCTGCCGGGAGCGTGTGTGAGGAAAAGAGGGCACCACCGCGGCCTTCGTACTCGATACGGAGACGCCGGTTGGCCTGTTCTACTTCTGAGGCGAACACCTCTCTCCGTTGGCTCCCAACGGCCGAAGCATTTCCCTCGCATTCAAGGAGCCCGTTCCTCGGGCCGCTTCCTCGCCTGTCTCGGGAGGAAAGGGGCGGAGTCAGGGCAACGAGATCACATGACCTTGCGTGGCGGCGCGGCAGCCATCTTGTGTTGTTGAGGCTGAGGATTGGCCTTTGGATCCGAGAGACTCTCTTTCCGCGACCTCAGGTAAACTGCAGCGTGTTAGCATTACACCTTCCCTTTCAGGCGCGACCCTTTCCCGGCTTTCTGCTCTCCCGCCCTGGCCGTTGTCTGTCCTGCTGTCGCCGCCCTTTGGAAAGAACTCGCCTAGGCCTTTCGTCAAGCACCGGCCTCCCCTATGTCTCGTGTCCCGAAAAGCGTACGGGAGGTTGGGGGGGGGAAGGAAGTGGCGCCTGGCGTTGAAGGTTGTGAGCGATGGCGTGGGTTGCTGGCTTGTTTGCAGTGCACGGGTGAGCGGAAGGAAGCTTTGGGTCTCTGGACTTGCTTTGACTCCGACCTGGCAACCGACAGTTGTGGGCCTTTTCATTCTTCATGCCACATATTGGCAACCTTCCTTGGTAGGCAGCCTCGGAGGACCGTGTGAATACTCTCAGTCCATGTGCCCCAAATTCTCATCGCCCCCCCGGAGAACCGGTTCGTCTTCCTGCTATGGGAGCGAGCCATACTCGGTAGGAAGGCATCTCGCCTATTGCCATGACTTGCCAGCACAACAGGGAGGAACGGCCTTAGCAGCTGCTGTCAGTGCTCTGGTTATTTGAGCATAGGAATGGCTCTTGGTATCGCTGTGACCATGTAGAGGTTTTGAAGACTAGTGGAAAACAGTGGGGTAGTCGAAATAGTCTGGAGGACTTGGTGACTTCTGGTAGTGAAAACACTAGAGCGGCCTGTAGACCACTAGCATTGATAGGTACATTCACCAGCTGCAGGGATGTAGGAGATGTAGTTGTAAACTCCATTGAAGTAGAGTGGTAATAGCCTAACTTCAGTGAAGGGAAAGAACTCTGCAGGTCTCATGATTCTGTAGTTTGTTTAATTTGTATAGCAAAATAAACTGAACTATCTAGTGTAAACTGAAAAGTAGTAGAGACAGTATACTTCACATATCTGATAACTTTGAAATTTTCAGAATAAAGGCAAAGTAAAATAAGGGACTGATTCTTGGCATTTTTATATGGATTATACAATAGGCAACACAGCTATGAACAAACAATATGAAGTCTTTTTCAAGTACCTAATCCAAATGCCACATCATTGTTTATTTTGGATAAGTTATGTGTACAGTATATGTGTAAACAGTTTACTTACAAGCCATTAAGAAAGCTAATTCAGCTGCAAAATAATTTATCAGATGCCTAGAAATGTTGAAAAATAAATCTAATCTATAGAATGAAGGATCAAAGGAGGAATATTTTTTTAAAAGCCAGACAGAACCGCAAACCTTTCTGAAGCCTGCCAAAAGATAATCATTTTTGAGCTTTATTCTTGATGACAGAAAATAACCTAACCAGGGCCTTTGCAATATAGTAGCAACACAGTTAATAAAGTTCTGTATACTTACCGTCTTTCCCTGAAAATAAGACAGGGTCTTACATTAATTTTTACTCCAAAATAAAACGCATTAGGACTTATTTTCAGGGGATGTTTTAATTTTTTTTAACATAGAACAATCTACATTTATTCAAATACACTCATGTCATCTTCTGGTTGCTGCACAATGGTGGAGGGCAGGGTTTCTCGTAAGTGGGGCTTATTTTGGGGGACGGCTTATATTACAAGCATCCTGAAAATTTATACTAGGGTTTCGGGGAAACAGGGTAATAGGTTTACAGGAGCTAACTCACAGAGATTTTGCAAGGTTTTTCTGTAACAAGCACATAGATCAGAAGACCTGGAATCAAGAATACCAAATGTGCAAGTAAATATTTTAGCCAAAGACATAAAATAGGCTGTAACATGTCTGTGTAGGAAGCAAATGTGGGCAATTTGTGAGAGAACCGGAGAGTTTGTGGATGAAGCAAAAACAAATTTTATTTATGTATGTTATTTCTGTGCCTCCTTTCTCTCAGTATAGGGACACAAAGTGGCTCATAAATAGATAAAAACAGTACCATTTTTAAAATAACAAGTTACAGCATTTAAAAGTTACATGTATAACAATATTTGAAATTGCACCTTCCCCAGTTTTAGAACATAGAAAAAGAGAGACTCAACATGGCAAGGAAAAATGTATCACATCCTGCCATAAAATTTAGTTGTGTTCATTTGTTAAAACTTCCTAAAGGTTTTTTTTCTTCACATAAAGTGATGTAGGGAGGGGGCCAACTCAATTTCCAAGTGAAGGCATTCCATAATCTGGCAATAGCCACTGAAAATGCCAGTTCTTTCATTCTCATCAAATGTGTCTGTGAAGCTGGTGGGATCAAGAGAAAGGTCTTTTAGACTTCTGAGCCCAGACTATATAGGCCCTTATACGTAATAATCACTGCTTTGAATTGGGCCTGAAAATGGACAGGTACCCAATTGCACGGGAGTTATATGCTCCCCATAACTGCCTGTAGACCACTCTGGTTGCAGCAGTTTGAACCAGCTAACATTTCTGGCCACTCTTTAAAGGCAGCCTTATGTAGAGCATGTTACTATAAACTAGATGGGATGGGACTAAGGTATGTGTCACTGGAGCCAGATTCAGGCATCTCAGCAGACATGTTAGCTTTAACTGTGGAAACATATTCCTGACCACCACCAGAGTGTGGCATCAAGATTCAGGACTGAATCCAGGAGCACACCTATGCTGCTAACCTGAGTATTCAGGGACAGTAACACCATCCAGCATAAGCTGAATCTCTGTTCCCTGATTTGCTTTTTGACTGATCAGGAGCACCTCTGTCTTACTATGGTTAGGTTTTCAAGGGCAGCTTCACATACAGCAGATATTCTCGTAGTCAAGCCTTAGGTTTAACAGATAAAGATGGGATATTCTTATTTGTCTCCTGAAGGAGATTGATACAAATATCGCCACCACAGGTGGCTGGGCCCTTTGGACCCTCCCTCCAGAACCAGATGCATCCACTCACTGGGCTTTGTGTGGTGTGTACATCCATCTTCAGTAACATCACACCAATCATGGAAGTAGCCTGGTTGGCACCTCCCTGCCTTCCTGACGTGTTGAACACTCAGCAGCTTAATGGGGAGACTTGTCATCCTGCCTCCTTGCCAGAGTAGTTAGCAGTGCAGGGAGGCAGGGAAGCACCGACTGGGCTACATCTGCAATGAACATGATGATGGATGTGTGTGCCATGTGAGTCCCGGTGAGTGGAGCAGGCTAGTTCTGGGGGAGGGGGCAGGGAGGAATGGACCTCCATGGCACCTGTGGTGCTGTGCTTTGTATTCATATCCCCAAGAATATGAATATTAAGCTTCCATGTCTAGTTAAAGAAGCACAACTAAAATCTGCTAAAGCTTGATCCATTGGTTCAGATTTAAGTGATGCTAGGCTCTGCACCCTCACCTGCCATCTGTTATTTTTGTTTTTAAATCCAGTGGCAAGCTGAATTGAGCAACATTTAGCTGCTTGCCTGACTGATGAAGCTCCAGATAGCTCACAGTCATAACTGTTGACTCTTCTGCAAAAGGATTAGATTACCCCACCAATTTATCTGGCTTCAGCTTTTCTATTAAGCATCATCCAGTCTAGACCATGATATTGAGATGCCTGATTGAGAGAGAGCCAGTTTTATCAGCACGTTGATGACAGTACACTCCAAAACTTGCAGTGATCCACTTAACTGCTTATTACAGATGTTAACTCAGATTACAATCCCGAGTCCATGAGAAACACCCTGTTTTGGCATCCAGGCACTGAGTAGGCATTGTCTTAAGGTTGTTGTGAGATTCTGTACGTGAATAGAAATGTAATCATATTAATGCTTCTGCTTTGGTGTCTCCATGGTATTTTAACAAAATACTTTACATATGTCAGTTAAAGGTCTTGCAAGATTAGCAGCACAGAATTTTCTCAGTTAGCTTTCAAGAAACATTATCTACCAAGTTTTTAATGCTGTAATTGTTTTATGTTTAGATCTAAAAGCAAATTAAGATGGATTGAGAAGTATGTTTTGTTCAGAGAACTTTGGTTGGCTCTTCCATCACCCTGGTGACTTTACTTTTCCTAATCAAAGGGAAACTAGAAAAATGCTGTAGAAAAACATGAGAGTGCCCTAAAATTAACCTGGTCGTCAAAAGTCTGACCTCTTGTTTGTGCTGCAGAATAGGCTGTTGAATCCAAGCTATAGGATGCTACTATAGCATGAGACTTTTTTTTACTGATTATTCTTGTGTCTTTGATCAAGGAGACTATCTAGTAAATAAAGTTGGATAATTCATGTTTTTATAGGGATTCACAAATTTGGGGCTGGCTTTGATAATAACTACCTAACTCTTCCCAGTTCTAACTTACAACATGTTACCTGAAACAGAGCTCACATAACTCATTCTCTGGAGTCCAAGCTATGCCCAACACTTAGTGTGTTCCTGAGGTTCAAGACCTGCCTTCTTCTCATCCCTAGCCTAGGAAGAAGCCAGGCTGCCTGGGAGACACTAGAATATCTGTTGCTATGTAGGAGTATAATAATTGGTAGTGGTGTTGTTACATGCTGCCAGGTCTCTTCCTACTTATGGCAAAACTGTGAATAAATGGCTTCCAAAATGTTTTGTCATTAATATCCTTGCATAACTCTTCCAAACTCAAGGCTGTGGCTTCCTTTATGGAGTCAGTCCATTTCATATTTTATCTTCCTCTTTCCTGCTGCCTTCAACTCTTCCCAATGTTATTTTCTTTTCTGGTTAGTCATGTACTTTGGGCAAATCATTATTTTTACTTCTGGAGAATATTCAGGCTTGATTTAATCTAGGATCCACTTGATTGTCTGTCTGGCAGTTCAGGGTATCCACCAAGCTATCCTCCAGCAGTGTACTTTAGACAGTTCATTCCCTCCCAATTGGCTTTTTTCACAGTACAGTTTTCCCATCAATATGTAAGTGATAGGGAATGGAACAGTGTGGATTATCTTGGCCTTGGCCTCCAGTGGGTTTCATTTGATTACCTCTCTAGTTCATTGCTGCCTTTCTGAGTTTCAGTCTGTTTCCGATTTTTTTTGGCTGCTGCTTCCATTTGGACAGATGATGCA